GTAGCAGCCTTGGTTGGGATACAGGGCTTGACATCACAGCTGGCTGGGGAATAGGTGAGGCAGCACAGGCTCCCGCAGTTGGGCTGGGATTTCAGCACAGGGGGAGAAGAGATGGGTAGCCCTTGGCATTCCCCCCCAGGGCGTACACACTCTGAGCAACGGGAACCATCTCTTTTATCTCCAATCTGCCAAACTTCTCCTTCAGCTGCTCAAGCGAGGGGCTGTGGACTGCACACTCCAGTCGTCCCCTCCAATCGATCCCTTTGCCTTCTGGTATGCTGCGGACAAAAATCCCTGGGATGGCAGCAACAGGAGTTCCTCTTCAGTCGAAACAGGAGTGCTCCTGCACTGAGGGGCAGCTTCAGCTTGATAAAAGTCCACTAGGATTGTAGTTCCTCCCTGCTGTACCAGCTTCCCAGGTTGGATCAACAGGATGTTGGCCGAGCCTCTGCCAGTGATGCCTCCTCGGTGGCTGGAGCAGCTGCTTAAGCTCTGGCAGCCAGAGTTCTGTTGTGGCCAACAATGGCTCCATTCTTTTCCTCCATCCACAAATCTTCGCTGAGTCTTTACCGCTCTCCCAAAGGATGGGTAGACAGTCAGGACCCACCACCCCGAAAAAAAATGAGACTTGGTTTAATGTCATGGTTCTAACAGACAGAGACGAATAAAGCAGAATTCCGAGGCTTGAAAATTCCTCAGAGAACATGTTTATTAGTTACAAAGTATCAGCAAGGTCAAAAGTGAAACTAAGTCTGAATACACAAGTAACAATTGTCCAATTACAAAGTTAAATATCCACCCACAAAACTATGCAAGCAACTACGTTCCCCAATATATTCATTTGGCGGGCTTTTTATGCAACGCCCATCCCTAGTCACGGAAACAGCAGATGATCTTGGTTCCCACGGACAGAAGATTATTTTATTTTAATTATTATTTTATTACTAACAAAGCACCTGGGCAACCCCCCCTATGTGGCAATCTAGAATGAGAAGAAAAAATGGCTGCAGCCATGCTCATTGTAGGGTCGACACAGGCACTCTTAGAAAACCATATTATTTATTATTATTTTGCTCCCTAAAAGATTAGAGTTTGTTTTTTAATTGAATTGTACAGCTGATATGTTATATTAAAGGTGGAAAAAATTCAGAAGTAATTTAGCTAGGTCTGATTTTCTTACATCTCAAAAACCTGGCATTTTAACAGGAGTGTGTAGACATTTTATATCCACTATAGACCCTCTATAACCACTGTACAGTACTCCTTGCTTAATGACCATTCATTGACTAAATTTATAACAGCGTTGAACAAATGGTACTTATGACCAGTCCTCAAAGTTATGGCTAATGCATTGCCCCCAGTCATGTGATCAAAATTTGGGGATTTGGCACCTGCCTTCATCTACAACTGCAGGAATATGCTTCAATTCCCTCACAGACCTATCTCCTCCCAACTTTACTTTTTGTTCCTCCTGCCTTCCTCTGCCTCTGCCACCTTGCCTTCCACTGACTTTTGCTATCATCTTCTTCCCACTGCTGATGAGGCAAGCCTAGCTTGGTCTTTCATGAGGGAGCTGCTGGCCATGCAAGCTATTCTGCATAGAGCAGGAGAAGCCCGAGGTCCTTGCCTAATAATAATGTGGGTGTAGTCCCACAATTGCAGCTATCAATATTTTGCCTATCGACTGTTATCACTTAGCAATGGAAATTCTGGTCCCAATTACTGCCATTAAGGAAGGACTACCTGTATATCCCTTGACGCATTCTAATACAGAGGTCCTCAACCTTTTGGGCACCAGGGACCAGTGTTCTGTGGAGAGAGGTTTTTTTGCAGACTGGAGGGGGTGTGGTTTTTTGAGCTGCCTGCATCCCACGGATGAGACTTTGCTTGTTTGTGCGGACCAGCTGCCGTAGCCCAGTACTGGTCCCCCGACCGGAGGTTAGGGACCCCTGTTCTAATAGACAATGTAACTCACATTGCTTTAATCTAGGACATTTTAAATTTCTGCATACAGATAGTCCTCTACCTATGACAACTGAGCCCAAAATTTACATTGCTAAGCAAGACAGTTGTTAAATGAGCTTTACCCCATCTTACGATCTTTCTTGCTACAATTGTTAAGTGAATCACTGTACTTGTTAATAACACATTTGTTAAGTGAATCTGGTTTCCTCATTGACTTTGCTTTTCAGAAAGTCACAAAGAATGATCACATGACACCAGGACACTACAACTGTCATAAATACATGCCAGTTGCTAAGCATCTGAATTTTGATCAAGTGACCATGAGGATGCTGCAATGGTCTAAAGCAGAGGTCTCCAACCTTTCTGGGCTCGTGGCGTGGAGGGAAGGACAGCAGCTTCCAAATTGGTGTGGGTACACACGCAAACAGCACAGTGTGAGCAGCTTCCAAATTGGTGTGTGTGCACACAAACAGCACCGCGTGCACCGGTGTGGCACTAGCAGCCTCATTCATGCATGCACAAACGGGCCACGCATACCTGCCCGGTACTAGTGGCCTGGTTCGTGCCCACATGGGCGCTAGTGTGAGTGGGGGGAGTGTGCACATATGTGTGCGTGCAACGGCCCACTGGCCAAGAGACTGCAGCCCGGTAGTGGGCTGCTGCCCATAGGTTGGGGACCCCTGGTCTAAAGTGTGAAAAATGGTCATGTCACTTTTTTCAGTGCTGTAGTAACTTGAAACTGTCATTAAATGAATAGTTGAGGATTACCTGTTTTTTCTAGAGTAGCTGTCATTTTAATTACACTACCATTCTCACTTTCTCATACTATAAAAAATACAGACCAAATCACTAAAAAAATTTAAAACATGCCATGTGTTTTAAGTATATACACATCTATGTATGAGTGCTTTTTTTCAAAAGTAGAGAGAATACAGATTTTATTTCATGCAACACCAAATGGCATTATCACTGACAGTGTACATTGTGAAATATTAAAACCCCATTTTGCAACATATAATAAACTACCAGTTTTCCACTGACTTCAGAAATACCTTGCAATCTAAGGTGAACTTCCAAACTAATTTTAAACAATGCAACTGGTGACTTTATACTCCAAAGAGAATCCCATCAACAGCCCAAGTTCTTTCTATTGTTTTTTTTTTTGCTTTTTTAAAAAAGTAATCTGTAAATTTATGAGGGCAATTTGGAAATAAACCTCCATTTGGTTATCAATGACACTTGCAGATACAGAACTTTTATTGTACACATTAGAAAACTAGAACATTTTTGACAGAACCTCCATTCAAATTGAGAAATTTGTCATAATGTCTTACAAGGTTTGAAATTCCTTAGTAGTAGTCGCTCAGCACCACATCTGGACTATGGGGGGTTTGATCAAAAACATTCCAACGGAACTGCTTCAAAAGTTCCTGGACGTTTCTAGCAGTATGTGGGTGAGCATTATCGTGAACCAATACCACACTGGAAGTGGTGCCATAGAAAATCCCACCAAATGTGAAGATGCCAAAGGAATACTGCTAGTGAAGTTCATGGAACATGGTTCGACTATCAATTTAGAAATCTACTGTGAAACATTACAAAAACTCAGACAAGCCATCCATAACAAGCGTTGGGGCATGCTGACTTCTGGTGTGGTGTTGGTTCACAATAATGCTTGCCCGCACACTGCTAAATATGCACCCAAGAACTTTTGAAGCAGTTCTGTTGGGATGTTTTTGATCACCCCCCATAGCCCAGATTTGGCGCTGAGCGACTATTACTAAAGAAGTTCAAACCTGGTAAGACGTTATGACAAGTGCCTCAATTTGAATCGCGATTATTTCGAAAAGTAATGCAATGTTGTAGTTTTCTAATGTGTATAATGAAAGTTCTGTATCTGCGAGTGTGTCATTGATAACCAAACGGAGGTTTATTTCCAAATTGCCCTCGTACAAAGCTAATATTGGTCTATGGTAAGTTCTTTCATCATTCTCAGACACTAAGTTCTCTTTCCCTCTATGGAAAAGTTTTTTAAATGTTCTCTGAATTAAATTTATAGTTTCATTCTTTGTGTGCATGCCTCTGAGTTCTTTTTTTGACTTCAACTGACCGCCTGGATAATCCTGTACTTTTGTTGGCAAGATTTTGTAAGTGCTATTCTGCCTATCAATTTAAAATCTTCCAAAGATCTGATCTTTAGGAAGTACTACTAAATACTAAATGTTTGCGGTAGCTCAGATTACTAGATTTTTAAAATATAAGATACATAGGTATTTCCAATCAATATAGGGTTTTATAGACAAAGAATAGGTGCACCCAATGAGGGTCTAAGCACTCCTTTCACTTGATTTTGAAATGTGCATGCTCATAGGAGTAAAGTAACTTATAGCCACTTATTTACAGTATCATTCTAGGGTTGTCAAAGAATTAAAGCAATTTTGAAAAAAAAAAAACTTTTAACTGTTTGAGTCCTAAACAAGAGTCAAACTTCTGAAGTCTTCAAATTTTCCATTTGCTTGGAGGGAACTTAAGAATTCCTATACTCCCTTGCTGACAATACTTGAATTGTTTCAGCACTAAATGTAAGAATAAAACTGTTTTAGATCATTTTGCTGTCAGCCTTGCTAGGTAATCCAAACAAGAAGCACATCCACAAGTACTAACTTTAGTTTTATTGTAAGGCCACATTAACATAATCTTGCAAGTCTGAAAGTACATCTCTTCTCCCTGCTTTGCAGTCCAAAAAAACTAGAAAGGGTCCCTTTTGAGACCTCTTCCATGCCCCCATGGTTTCTCTGGACTAAGCTGCCTTTCAGCTGACTATTGTCTAGCTCTTTCTCCTGTCTGCCATATATCTTTACATTACTTTGTTGTGTTATTTTTTTTTCTAGAAATCAATTCAATTCTAGAAATTGAATTTCACAATACAATATTCTTATGCATAAAAGTCATCTAAAGTTTAGTCACCCTGAGCTGTAGATGCAACATATTTTCTCTGCTTATAAATCAGTAAGATGGAGGTGAATACTACTTACCAATGCAGACTTCCCAACACCTCCCGAACCAAGAACTACTAGTTTATATTCGCGCATGATGTAAATCTTAAATCACCTTAAAACCTGCAATACAAAGAAATATGCTATGTTGCAAATATACATGTGTCAATATAGTTCATTAACATGTAGGCCATGTATAAAATTGTGGAATTGTTCCACTGTTTGTTTATTTATTTTTCCTACTTCTTAATTACCCATTTTTCTCTGAGAGCAGCTCTAAATTTTAAAAACAATAAATAGAAATATGGCTATTTTATTCTAAAGTTAGTAACACATTTTATGGGATAAACCTTGAAAAGTATGCAGAGGAAAAGCAAAATATTTTATTTCAATATGGTAATTTATCTAGAGTCTCCAAATTTGCACATGCACATATACTCATGTCAAATTAACCTCAAACTTTTTATCAGTTAACTCACATAATCTCAATTTATAAAATGTTCTAAATTTTTAATCCAGAGTTACAGTTTAAGAAATAACACTATTATTCCAAAAAACTCATTCCAGGTTTTTCTTAACCCAACTATACAATTACATTAAAAGCAAATATTCTAGAACCTGTGGCATTATCTCTTTTATGAAGACTAAGCCTTACATAAACAGTTGGTAATGCAATATCTTTTCACTATGATGAGCACTGCCCATGCAAGTTATTAATTACAATCTCTTGCATTCATTTATATTGAGAGGAAGCTTAGAGTAATAGTTAAAGTTTTGTACTAGGAGCCAGGAGATTCTGAGTTCTATGCATAGAACCTGGCTAGATGATTTTGAGCTCTTAATCAGCTTACATGGTTGTTGGTGTGAGGAAAATAGGAAGCATTATACACGTCACCTTGAGTTTTCAAAAATAAAAGTGGGATATGAATAAAATAAATCAATACAGAAATAAAATATTCAGCAAGGGTCCCTTTCAATAACCAGATATCTGAACTCACTATATTTACTGAACAGAAACCTGGTACAGTTCTAATTAGTCAATCATACTTATGCTTTAACCACTTCAGAGATAAAAAAAAAACTTGTCTGAGAGTTGACAGGTACCTAAAATACATATTGTAGGAATTAGGAAAAAAGTTGGTATGATAGTAGTTGCAAGGTCCACTATAAAATAAGTCAATGGCAGTTGAATATGCTTCATTTTCTACTGTTTCAATGCATAAAATCCAAAGGCAAGTCAAAATTTGGAGGGGGGAAGTATTTTTACTGGACAAGCTGAACACTGGAGATAATTCTTAGGTACACAACTGGAAAAGACATTGGGTTGCTCTCATGCAACACTCACTGTATTTTTATGGTTTGTTGTGAAGATGCATGGTATACATGCACCATCTGCTAACTGCTATGCTCTGAGATAGCAGCTCTTGAGTGAGATGCAATGAAGAATATGAGAATCAACCCCTCACAGAAACAATTGTCAAATACCACATATTTTTAAACTGCCACTTAAGCAATGTAAGGCATAACAGATACATGTCCTCTTAGCTATATTATTAAAAATAACTAAACATCTTAGTACTAGTGTACTTATATGTCTGCATTTATGCACCATAAATTAACACTATGGGTTGTTTTAGATAATTCTTGAAAATAGACTAATTTTCCAAAATGTTAATACAGTAAATAAGGACTCTGCTATCTGTTAATCTTATTAAGCAAGGGAAGGGAGAACGAATTAGACTTTTCACTTATTTTAAAACTGCATAATGCATTTTACATTGACATTAATCCACTGACATTAATCAGTCAAAATGTTTGCATGTATACAATCCAGGAAAGTTGCTTGTTAATATATTGCTTCAGTTACAAATGTTTACTAGCAACTGGATTCATAGTAAATTATTTTATTCTCATGGGATATTGAACTGTCAGCAGAAAAATCAGTTATGATGAAATATATTTTTATTCTCAATGTACTATATTAATGGGACAAAGCAATCGCCATACAATGAAGAAAAAAAGTATCTGATTCCCTGCCGATTTTGTACGTTTGCCCACTGACAAAGAAATGATCAGTCTATAATTTTAATGGTAGGTTTATTTTAACAGTGAGAGACAGAATAACAAAAACATCCAGAAAAATGTATTTCAAAAAAGTTATAAATTGATTTGCATTTTAATGAGTGAAATAAATATTTGACTCCTTTGCAAAACATGACTTAGTACTTGGTGGCAAAACCCTTGTTGGCAATCACAGAGGTCAAACGTTTCTTGTAGTTGGTCACCAGGTTTGCACACATCTCAGGAGGGATTTTGTCCCACTCCTCTTTGCAGATCCTCTCCAAGTCATTAAGGTTTTGAGGCTGACGTTTGGCAGCTCAAACCTTCAGCTCCCTCCACAGATTTTCTATGGGAGTAAGGTCTGGAGACTGGCTAGGCCAGTGGTGGCGAACCTATGGCACGGGTGCCAGAGGCAGCACTCAGAGCCTTCTCTGTGGGCACATGTGCTGTCGCCCCAGTCCTGGGCCTTCAGCTGGGTTTTATAAAACCTCCACCGACGTGTGCCCAAAAAAAAAAAAAAAAAGGTTCAATCAGTCAATTTCAACTTCTCCTGGGAAAAAAAAAAGATCTTGCAAAGTTGGAATTGATTGATTGAACTTTTTAGTCCCACCCAGTATGCCGTTACCACCGCAGCCATGTCCACCCAGTGGGCCACACCCACCCAATGGGCCATACCCACCTGGCACTCGACGATGCATAAGTGGGTTTTGGGTTGCAGTTTGGGCACTCGGTCTCTAAAAGGTTCGCCATCACTGGGCTACGCCACTCCAAGAAAAGTAGCGTGGCGGCTGAGCACCGTAATTCCATTACATTTGAATATCATCAGTACAAATCTCGAAGTATTACAACAACTAATTCCCTCTCTTTCCCCATATCTACTGTCTCATATTCAGACAAATACAGTTCTTATTCTATTGATCAAATAAAAAATACCTTTCTAGTATTCATCAATAATCTTCAGTCTATACATATCTTAACTGATTTGACATTCCATCTTTCAGACAATAACCTAGTAAGTTTTTCTTAACTTTAATTTCCCATTGATATTTAAATTTAACGTTTAATCTTTATCATTTCCAAATTTTAAATGACCCCAATTTCTAAGTTTCCTATCTCATATTTGGGGCTAATAATTTTTTTTCTTTTCTTCCTTGTACTTCCTTCCTTTCCAAAAAAAGAAAAAAGAAAAAAAGATAAACCGTCAGCATTTGTACCACAAACCAATATACAAATTTAATTATTAGTATTTATACTTCTAAGTTTTACTTAACCTTTGTCTCAACTCATAACAATATCTTAAATTCAAATCTTAGTTATTTTTAACATTCAAACTTTTAGCCAATCAGTGACCTGATAGTTAATTTTCCCTTAATATTTTAACGTTTAATTTTCCCCCCAAATTTTCAATTAAGCACAATTCCTTTATCACAATTCCTCATACAATCTAATATTTAAAATACACACCTTATATATAAATTCTACCATCTATCTTAACAAACTAATAAAACAATATAATATTCTTATTTCAATATTTATATTTCTAGATTTTATATAACCAAAATTTTCTTTATCTCTAATTGTTACGATATGTTGTGTTCAGAATACATATTCTATCCATTTGGATATATTCTATTTCAGATCTCATGTGTAAATCAAAATCCCAATCCTTTTCAGTCTTATTCTAGCTTTTTTTCTTTGCCAAGTCATCTTTCGTATCTTTGCTTTTAAATCATCAAAAAGATCTCCTTGTATTGTTGTGGCTATTGTTTGACATTGATAAAAGCATCCAGTTGATGTTTTCTTAAGAGGACTAGCTGATTTAGCAGGTCATCTCTTTGTTTTTCCAATTCGATGCAGTTGTCCTGAAGTATTTATCTTCTCTTTCATCTGTTTTTCTTTTTTATCTTCAAATTCCTTTTGGTTTATAAGAAAAGTCCTTTCCTTGTTCTCTATTATCAGTTTCTTTGTTGTGTTTTCCATCGTCTGCATTTGTTGAGTATCTAAGTTTTCTGTCATAGCATTTGGTTGTTTCACTTTCTCTATAGCAGTGGTTCTCAACCTTTCTAATGCTGCGACCCCATAATACAGTTCCCCATGTTGTGGTGACCCCCAACCACTTATACATCACCGGGTGCCAGGGGCGTGGCCAAAGAAAAGGGGAAAAAATGGCGGACAGCCTTGTTTGGCGACCCCCGTGAAATGGTCGTTCGACCCCAAATGGGGTTCCGACCCACAGGTTGAGAACCACTGTTCTATAGAATTCTGTATAGATGATTCTTTGGTTGAAGTAATAGTTTGAGTTTGCATATCCAGACTTATACGGAGAGTTTGGATAATCACTTTTAACATACAAAGGATTTGTTCCTCTTCTTCCTCTGTAGGAGAAATCCATTCCTTCCTCCATTGTAGTATATTAAACTAAAAAAAAAACTTAGTCAGAAAGTCCACCAAGCGAGGAGCTGAGTTTCTTGCAGCTGGTGCTTCAAGGCTGCTTTATATCTTATCTATTTTCAACAAGTCTCTCTTAAAGAATAACAATTACAATTTCAAATTTAGCTACCAGATGTCATCTCAGAGTTAATTGGATCTTTTCAGTCCCCCCCCCTCTATTTTAAGGGGGGGAAACCCCCAAATCTTCAATAATAGTTAGATTAAAAATCAGAGAAAAAAATAGAGAGTAGAAAGTTACAAGTCTTATAATCCACCAATTTTAGGAAATATAATTCCAATTAGGATCCCAGTATTTTTCCAACATTTTAAACTCCCTTAAGTGGTTAATCGCCGCTGTTTCTGGAGAGAGGGCTAAAATCCCTCTTTCCTCACCACAGGCGGGAAAGTACTTTAGCAGCTTATGCACGTAATTAAGTAATTAGGATGTAAGAGAGGTAGATCTTACCCAGTCTCTTCCACGCTGCTTTAAAGTTGCCAGATGGTAAATGCGACTTCGGCTGTTAGCAGCCTAGGGACGAGCCGTATTTCTATGGCTGGTCCTTTCGTCCGCCAGTTTGGAGGGATCGCCAGCTCTAATGGAAGAGTTGTTGCTCTCCTGTGATCCAACAAAAGCCCCTCCTTGCTGGTCGCCTCTTCGGGGCGCCTTTTGGCCTTTTTCAGGGCCCCTCAGCGATGCAAAATTGAACGGGGGAGAGCAGATCTCCCAGCCGTCCATGGTGGCTGCGTGATAAACTGGAAGCCTCTTCTTGAGCCATTCCTTTGTTGCCTTGGCTGTGTGTTTTGGGTCATTGCCATGCTGGAATATCCATCTACAACCTATTTTCAATGCCCTGGCTGAGGGAAGGAGGTTCTCACCCAAGATTTGGGTTTGGCTAATCTAAAGAAAAGAAGAAATAGGGGAGATATGATAGTAGTATTCCAGAATTTGAGGGGCTGCCACCAAGAAGAGGGGGTCACATTATTCACCAAAGCATCAGAGGCCAGGACAAGAAACAATGGTTGGAAATTGATCAAAGAGAGAAGCAACCTGGAATTAAGGAGAAACTTCCTGCCAGTGAGAAAAATTAACCAGTGGAACAGCTTGCCTCCAGAAGTCGTGGGCATTCCATCACTGGAGATTTTCAAGAAGAGGCTAGACAGTCACTTTTCTGAGATGATATAAGTCCTTCTGCTTGAGTAGGGGGTTGGACGAGAAGACCTCCAAGATCCCTTCCAGCTCTATTCTATTCTTCTCATTTGATTCAGTGAAGTTGTCATGTCGTCTTAGCAGAAAAACACCCCCAAAACAAAATGCTTCCACCTCCATGTTTGACGGTGGGGATGGTGTTCTTGGGGTCATAGGCAGCATTCCTCCTCCTCCTAACACAGTGAGTTGGGATGATGTCAAAGAGCTCAATTTTGGTCTCATCTGACCACAACACTTTCACCCAGTTCTCTGAATCATTCAGATGTTCATTGGCAAACTTCAGACGGGCCTGTACATGTGCTTTCTTGAGCAGGGGGACCTTGCGGGCGCTGCAGGATTTCAGCCCTTCATGGTGTAGTGTGTTACCAATTGTTTTCTTAGTAACTATGGTCCCAGCTGCCTTCAGATCATTGACAAGATCCTCCCATATAGTTCTAGGGTTAGGCTGATTGATCATTGAAACTCCACGAAGTGAGATCTTGCATGGAACCCCAGACCAAGGGAGATTGACAATTATTTTGTGTTTCTTCCATTTGCGAATAATCACACCAACTGTTGTCACCTTCTCACCAAGCTGCTTGGCAATAGTCTTGTAGCCCATTCCAGCCTTATGTAGGTCTACAATCTTGTCCCTGACATCCTTGGATAGCTCTTTGGCCCTGGCCATGGAGGAGAGTTTGGAATATGATTGATTGCTTTTGTGGAAAGGTGTCTTTTATACAGGTAACAAGCTGAAATTAGGAGCACTCCCTTTAAGAGAATACTCCTAATCTCCCCTCCTTACCTGTATAAAAGATGCCTGGGAGCCAGAAATCTTGCTGATTGATAATGGATCAATTGATTCGCTCATTAAAATGCAAATCAATTTATAATTTTTTGAAATGTGTTTTTCTGGATATTTTTGTTGTTATTCTGCCTCTCACTGTTAAAATAAACCTACCATTAAAATTATAGACTGATCACTTCTTTGTCAATGGGCAAACATAAAAAATCAGCAGGGGATCAAATAATTTTTTCCTTCACTATATATGCTGTTTTTAAAAAATTGTTTACCTCAGCTTGAATGATCTAAACAAAATCCAAGTAAGCCTACTGGAATTCATGTCTGCCTTTTATCTTAGTGTATTATTTATTCAAATTTTGAATAACTTCACTATATTTCAACATTTGATTGACATCTAAAGCTCAAATATTAAAAGCTTATACTGCCATTCTAGTAGGTGGCAGGAAAACTGTAATAACTGCTTAAGTGAGCAACAGATATAAAATGTGTGTGATAAGGACTTCTGGTTTGCCATCGTGGTTCCGCAGATGCAGGAAGATGAGCTCTGTCTTCTGCATCCGAATTCGTTCTGCTGGGGGACCCTGTAGGGGCGACAAGCAAAGAGGGGACCCCAGTTTGATCACGGGAGGGTGGCAGCCCTTCCGTTTCATCTAGGAAAGCCCTCCAAACCGACGGTGAAAAGACTGGCCATATCAATATGGCTTGTCACTAAACTACTGACAGCCGAAGTCAAAATCACCACCAAGAAGCTTTAAAGCAACGCAGATGAAACTGGGTTAGACCTGATTCTCTCTTTAAGATTTTAAGTATTTTTTTCCTGTAAAAGCTGCCCGAAGTATTTTTCCCCCTGTGAAGAGAGAGGGAAGAGAATTTTTAACCCATCCTCTAAGAAAAGAGGCAACTAACTACCCAAGGGAAACAGAGCAACTATAAGAACAATTTTAATCTAATTGAATGTATACTCTTTTGAAACTTGGGGACTAAAAGTGTTCCTTCTCTCATTGAAAATGTGTTTTTTTTTAAATAAAACTTGAAAAACCACCATATAAATTTTGGATTTAAAAAGCTTAAAACGGCGTCGATGATATCTTGTGGCAAAGTATGGTATTACAATTTGTTATTGCTTAAAAGAGACTTGGCTTGAAGCCCAGACTTAGATAAAATTTCTTTGACCTTGACAGCTACCACCTGTGAAATACTCAGCTGCAAAGAAGGAACTTCTGGGCAGCATATCTAGCCTGCTGGAACTATAAATGTAAATGTTTACTGATTCTCAGAGCTATACTTGGGGAATTGTTTTCCTATTTCTTTACATGAGAAGCATATGTTATTATATGAGATGATGGAATACCTTGGACTATAAACTTTTACTTGACAAACAACTTCTACTATAAAGACCACCTATAACACATGAAATAGATGTCTCATACCTAGCTACAAAAGACAAAAAACTATTTTTAATGTTTGATTCTAAAATCTGCAATTTAACATACTATTAAGAGAATATGAAGACCAGGAAAAAATCCTTTCCATGTTGAAATCAATACATGAAATCATCCTTTCAGCTTGTGACAAAATAAGAAGTAACATAAAGGAACAAGATGCCAGTTTAAATATACAAACCCAGATCTTGACTACAACTAAAGAACTAACAATGCAGGAAATGACAGGAAAATTGGAACAACTAAACACCAAGACAAAGGACCCAATTGATCAACAGACCCAGCCAATGGAAAAATCAGAAAAGGGAGTGACAACATTGAAACTGGAAAAGACTTTTTACAAAAATCAGAAGAAATTTGAGGAAAAGGAAGAAGAACAGACTGAATGGAAGATAAACCTATCAGGACAACTGTAGGAAACTGGAGTGATAGAGAGGCGATCTAATGAATACAAATGGGCTCGTTCTTCCCCAAAAAACTAAATGGGCTCGTTCTTCCCAAAAAAATTAAATGGTCTTTCTTATTCCAAATAATATATATAATAATAGAGGGAGAACTATTTAACGATTCAAAGGCACTGACATGGAAGGTTAGCTGGCAAAGGAAGAAAGCCAGAGTAAGGCTGAAGAAAATAATGGCTTTGATTTATTAGGGAGGATATTATATTACTAATTAGAAAGTTGAATATGGTGGAAAATAAATAACTTTTAGAAAATAAAGTAACATAATTGAATAGCTAAGATGTGTAACAAGACTATTAGGCTTTGGTATGTAAAGGGAAAAAGGGAAAAGTTGAGATAAGGGAAATTCTGATCACCTAACATAAAATATTTGGAAATAATAGTAGTAGTAGTAGTAGTAGTAGTAGTAGTAGTAGTAGTAGTAGTAGTAGTAAAGTTGGAAGGGACCTTGGAGGTCATCTAGTCCAACCCCCTGCTCAGGCAGGAAACCCCCTACCATTTCAAACAAATGGCTGTCCAGTCTCTTCTTAAAAACTCCCAGTGTTGGAGCATTCACCGCTTCTGGAGGCAGGTTGTTCCACTGGTTAATTGTTCTGTCAGAAAGTTTCTCCTTAGTTCTAGGTTGCTTCTCTCCTTGATTAGTTTCCACCCGTTGCTTCTTGTCCTGCCTTTAGGCGCTTTGGAAAATAGCTTGACTCCCTCTTCTTTGTGGCAACCCCCTAAATAACAGTGTGGTGGTGTTGTTTTTTGTTTTCTTTTCTTGTCTTTGAATATTGATGGGAAATTAAAGTTTATGTATAGGCTAAAAAGTATTGATAAATGTAATAAAAATGTTTTTACTTAGTTGAAAATAAGAATTTTGTTTGCCCAATATGAAATATTTATGTATATTACTGAATTATTGGTTAATCCAGATAACACATATAATGGTTTTGATTTATTTGAGGGGATACTGTATTATTAATTAGATGGTTTAACATGGGAGAAAATAGGTAACTTTTAGAAAATAGAACATGACTATAATCAAATAGATGTGTATTTGAATATTAGGCTTTGTTATCAAAAGGGAAAATGGAAGACACTGAGATAAGGGAAACTTTGAAATATAAATATAAAATTATAATTTATGGAAATCATAAATAACATGTTAAATTTGAATATTGATGGGAAATTAGAAAAAAAGAGCAATAACAGGATATTCATTGTATATAAGCATTGAATGTAAATGCAATTAAGATATGTATAAGCTAAACACTATTGATAATTGTAACAAAGATGTCTTATTTAGTTGATAATAATAAGAACTGTATTAGCCTAATATGAGATAGTAGATACAGTATTAAGGGAAAAAGAGAGGAAATATCTGACGTTGTAACATGAGGTTTATACTAAAGATTTATGTACTGTATGCTATTGAACTATTGATTAACCCAGTCATCATGTTGCTTTTTAAATACTCAATTGTAAAATGAGAGAATTAATAAAATATTATTAAAAAATGTGTGATAAGGAAAATAAAGCTACAAATTGAAAGGACTCAGCTAAACTTTACAAAAATCAATCAAATGTTCATGTGATTCCACTATACATTTAGCCTTATATAAATATAAGAAGTATGCATGTTATCATGAAGTATAGCTTATATGTTCATCACCTTGCATATTTACATACACAGAAATGTTTATTCCTTCCAATCCAATAGAATATGGAAAAAAATATACAGAGGAGCTCCGGACTCTGTTCATCCCACAGTACCTCTCCAAAAATAGTACAGGACCAATTTGGTGGTAGTAGTGGGAAGCCAACAAAATAAAGAGGTGAGTTAAAAATGAACTAGCTCCAGTTGGGGGTTAGAGAATACAAATTGAAAAAGCTTCCCACTATCTTTCTATCAGAAAGGGAGTTGGCCAGCGGCTAAGAAT